TTCCTGGGTGCCACTCGGGGCCCTTCAGGGTCACTTAGGGGATGCGGCCCACGTCTTCTCTCCCAGATGCAGACTTGCTGACTCTCGGAGTGCAGGTCGGGGCAGCAGAGCTGTCACAGAGCACAGATGTGCTCACTGCCGCACGACGCACCCCCCTTCGCTGTACCCCAGCACTTGGAAGGAGTGATGAAGCTCAGGTGTGGAGAGCATCATCACAGGCCCCAAGGGCTTGGGACAGGGTGGGAACCCGACCTCTGCCCTCAGCTCACCACCTTGCTGGGAGGACTCAGCCATCCTTCCACCTAGCCCGAGAATTAGTGGAAGCAGGTCCCAGCTCAGCCTGGGGGCATCAACCTGGTTCCAAGTCCCAGCTCAGCCACCCATTGACTTTGAAACCTCGGGCAAGCGCCTGTGCCCCTCTGAGCTTCACCTTACCGTACGAGAACTGGGGAACCAGACACTTGCCTCTCTGAGAAAGAAACCAGCTGCAATGTGGGGTCACTAAAAAGGGAAAGACGAGGTCTGTGCCACCAGGCAGAAAAGAAATTGCAGGGAAAATGGCCCAAAGTTGGGGAAAAGAAAAAAAAAACATAGGCAATTCTGAGGAGGAAAGAGAAGAGGAGTATAACTCCCTTCTTTGTAGCATTTTACAGTTCCCACGCACCCTGCGCGGTATTCTCTCCCTTGTGCAACTGGAGGCAGGCACAGGCCCAGAGAGGTTAAGGGCCATGGCCAAGGTCATACAGCGTGTAAGATGTAGAGCAGTGCTAGAACTTCGTTCTTGCGGCTGTAAATCCAGTAACTACTTGCTAACAAGGCTTTGGGGAAGTCTCTGGAAGAGTTGAAGTGAGCCTTAAAGAGTGAGTTTTAGCTATGGGGAGAGAGGGATAAACAAAAACAGTCATTTCTCTCATAACCATGAATATTTCAGAAGTCCCCTGACCCTGGCAGAGCTGCCTTAGGAAGCAGTAGCTAAGAATGCAAGTTCTGGAGTCCAGCAGACCCAAGGTGAAAGCCCCCTTGTCCCACTCCTCTGTGTGACCCTAAACAAGCTGTTCAACCCACCCGAGCCTCTCTCCTCTTCTCTGAAATGGGAACCATCGGAGTGTTTACCTTAGAGCAGCAGTTCCCAGAGTGGCCCCCTGTCCAACAGCATCAGCATGGCTGAGGAACAGGCTAGGCACAGGTTCTCAGACCTCCTGAATCAAACTCCCATGGCCCCAACAAGTTTTTTTTTTTTTTTTAAGATTTTATTTATTTATTTGACAGAGATCACAAGTAGGCAGAGAGGTAGGCCGAGAGAGAAGGGGAAGCAGGCTCCCCGCTGAGCAGAGAGCCCGATGCGGGGCTCGATCCCAGGATCCTAGGATCATGACCTGAGCCGAAGGCAAAGGCTTTAACCCACTGAGCCACCCAGGCGCCTCAAGATTTTATTTATTTGACAGAGATTGAGAGCACAAGCAGAGGGAGCAGCAGGCAGAAGGAAAGGGAGAAGCAGACTCCCCACTGTGAGCAAAAGAGCCCAGCCTGGAGCTCAGTCCCAGGAACTTGGGATCATGATATGAGCTGAAGGCAGATGCTTAACCGACTGAGCCACCCAGGCACCCCCCCACACACAAGCTTTTTTAATGGGATCCTAAAGCACATTCAATTTGAAGATTCTCCACCCAGTAGGACTGTTAGGTGGCAAAGGCAGCATTCTGGGATTTCTCAACTCCAGACAAGTCCCCCACCCTGTCCTTATTAACCCCCTCTCCAGGTGCGGTTCCCATCCCACTTCAGCTCTGACCTGAAGGATCTGCTGCGGAACCTGCTGCAGGTGGACCTCACCAAACGCTTTGGGAACCTCAAGAATGGGGTTAACGATATCAAGAACCACAAGTGGTTTGCCACAACTGACTGGATCGCCATCTACCAGAGGAAGGTGGGCCACCTCCTTCCCCATGCCGCCCCTCTTCCCAGCAGGTGCAGAGGGTTTTGAGACGAGTCCATGAGCCAGGGAGGGCTGCCGGTCGAGAGATGGAAAGGGAAATGACATCTGAAAATAGGCCACAGGCTCTGAGCCAGTCCAGCTGAGGGGACTTAGAGCCGTGGGGGTCTAGAAGTGGGATCGTTTGGCCACTCTGTGACCTTGAGCATGAGACATCCCTCTGGTGAGCTAGCTATAATGAGATTATTAGGTTGTTAAGGTGAGTCGACATCCTAATGTTAAGCTGAGACCTGGGTCATAGTAAATTATCTCACGAATGTTAGTCCATTTACATTTATTGTTGTAAGGATAATTATGTTGACTACTGAGATCTGAGTGGTTCTTGACCCCTCTCCAGGTGGAAGCTCCCTTCATACCAAAGTTTAAAGGCCCTGGGGACACGAGTAATTTTGACGACTATGAGGAGGAAGAGATCCGAGTCTCCATCAATGAGAAGTGTGGCAAGGAGTTTACTGAGTTTTAGGGGTGTGCCTGTGCCCCCATGGGTTTTCTTTCTTTCTCTTTTTTTTTTTTTTTTTTTTGGGGGGGGGGGGGGGGGGTTGGATTGAACCGCCAGAAGGCCCCAGAGTTCCTTGCATCTAATTTCACCCGCACCCCACCCTCCAGGGTAGGGGGAGCAGGAAGCCAGATATTCAGAGGAATGGAAACACCAGCTGCTCTCCCTCAATCCCTCACCCTCCTGCCCCTCCCCACCACTTTTGCCTTCCTCCTCCCCAGAAGCCCCCAACCCAGCCCACTTCTGCCTGTTTTAAATGAGTTTCTATGTTCCAGTCAGACCAGGTCTTGCTGGTGTATTCAGGGACAGGGTGTGGAAAGAGGGGCCCAAACTTAACTCCATCCCCACCTCCCCAAACCACAGGCATCACCCACTAAGGGCAAATGAAGGAAAGGCCAGCCTTCTCTTCAGAGCAGTCATGCCTGGAAAAGAGAGATTTTAGTAACCTGTTGGGTGGGCTGCTTGCTAGAATTTAAAAAAAAAAAAAAAAAAAAAAAAGTATAATCTTATTTAAGTTCCACCAGTGCCTCCCCGCCTTCTTCCCCTACCCTTCCCATATTTCCCCCTTCCCAAATCCATTTCAACAAGGCTGGGAAGCAGACTGAATTTGTAAAGGAAGGAGCTGGGGTTCAGACCTCCGCCCCAAGCTGCTAATCTCCTCTGCTCCTCTGTCCACCTCCCCCCTATCCTGGGGGTTCCCTGGCAAGCCTGGAAGGGTCTCAGCCCCTTTAGGAAGCCCCTGTCCCCTTCTGCCCCAGCAGACCTTTCTTCATCTTTGGGCTTCGGCCAAGACATGGAAAGCAGCTGCCCCCTCCCTGCCAAAAAAGAGTTGTCCCCCGAAATGATAGAAGGGGAGCCCCAAGCCCAGGGTCTTTCCTCCCACCAGCACTCCCCCCAAACTCTAATTTTATTCTCAGCTAGATTTTAATGCCCGGCCTCCTCTCTGCTCAGTTGGGAAGGCAACCCCTGCAAAAGAAGGCAAAGCCCTCCTCCCGCTCTTGGCCCGGGGTTCAAGGCCAGGGTTGCTGGGGAGGGGCTGCCTGTTTTATTCACCCAGCAGCCTCCGCCCCCCCTCCTCCCATCCTGGGCGCTCCTCCTCTGCTTAGCTGTCAGCTGTCCATCACCCTTTCTCCCCCCCCAATTTGTGCTTTTTTCTCTCTTAAAAGTGGGGAACCACCCCATTCATCCCCATATTTGTCCCTCTCATAACTTCTCCCCATCCAGGAGGAGCTCTCAGGCCTGGGGTGGGGCCCCGGGTGGGCACGGGGCAATTCAACCTGTGTGCTGCGAAGGACGCGACTTCCTCTTGAACAGTGTGCTGTTGTAAACATATTTGAAAACTATTACCAATAAAGTTTTGTTTAAAAAAAAGTGTCGTTGGTGTTCCCGACTTCGGTCACCCGCCCACATACCCCCAGGGGTTTGGAAAGAGAATTTCGGACCCCAACGTCCAGGCTGATCAGGATCTGGCCTAGAATCCTTGTAAAACCGGGTTTGGCCAGAATTCAGCCACTACCCCGCCCCGCAGGAGAAGGGGGCGCCAAACTGCCCTTTGACCCTGGATTCGGGGTCCCCAATCTGCGGCGCGCCCCCTCGGCGTCCAGCTCTCGGCCGAGAGGGCGCTCTAGGGAGACGCTGGGGCCGGCGCGCCGGGAGGCCGAGCGGCGGCGGGGGCGGCCCTGGCGGAGGGGGGGGGTAAAGGGTGGGGGAGACCGTGCGCGCCCCCCTCCCCGCATCCTCGGCGCAGAGTGCGGGGCCAAGAGCGCCGTTGGGGCGCGGGGGCGGCGACAGTCTGAGGGTCCCCGCGGCGCCCGGCGAGCGCAGGGGCCCGGCCCGCGGGCGGCGAGTTCCCGGTAAGTGCAGTCCCGAGAGCGGAGCGCGCCGGGGAGGCGTGGAGAGGGGGGCTGGGCGCCGGGGACGTCTGGGTCCCGCGCCCAATGGCTGGAGGGCGGCCGAGCGCCGCCCGCCCGCCCCGCCCGCCCCCTCTCCCCTCCCCCCCGGCTCTCCCCTCCCCCTCCCCCGCCCGCCGCTTTCCCCCGCCCCCGCCCCGGCGCCAACTCCACGGCGCCTCCTTAAAAAGCGCGCGGGAGTTGTAAGGGGGGGGCCGGAGCGAGCCAGAGTGAGCGAGAGCGCAGGGTAAAGGGGGCGGGCGGGGGGCCCGGGCTCCACCTTAAAAGCGGGCGCGTGGGGGTGGGAGGGAGGAAGGCGGGCGGCGGGGAGGAGGGAGGGAGGGAAGGAAGGGGGGCCGGAGTGTCCCGGGCGCAGGGCGCGCGTGCGGCGGCGGCGGCGGCGGGGAGGGGCCGGCCGCGCCGCGCTCCCCTCCTCCCTCCTCGCATCCCCGGCCCCGCGCGCGCCCAGCAGAAGCGGGTCTGTGTGTGCGTGCGTGCGAGTGAGTGAGTGTGTGCATATTTTTTTCTCTCTTTTCTTTCTCTCTCACTGTTTTTTCTCTCTCGCGCTCCCTCTCTCTCGCTTTTTTTTTTTTTTTTTTTTTTTTTTGCAAAGAAACAGCAGCGCCGCCGCCGCTCCGCCGAGGCGCTGCGCCCCCCGGGGGGGGAGGCGGAGGAGGCGGGCAGCGGCGGAGGGAGGGGAGCCGGGGAGGGGGGCGCCGCGCTGGGAGGGAGGCAGCGCGCACGGTGCAGCCGGGCCGGGCGGGAGGCATGGCGGGGCCCCCGGCCCTACCCCCGCCGGAGACGGCGGCGGCCGCCACCACGGCGGCCGCTGCCTCGTCGTCCGCCGCTTCCCCGCACTACCAAGAGTGGATCCTGGACACCATCGACTCGCTGCGCTCGCGCAAGGCGCGGCCGGACCTGGAGCGCATCTGCCGGATGGTGCGGCGGCGGCACGGCCCGGAGCCGGAGCGCACGCGCGCCGAGCTCGAGAAACTGATCCAGCAGCGCGCCGTGCTCCGGGTCAGCTACAAGGGGAGCATCTCGTACCGCAACGCGGCGCGCGTCCAGCCTCCCCGGCGCGGAGCCACCCCGCCGGCCCCGCCGCGCGCCCCCCGCGGGGGCCCCGCCGCCGCCGCCGCCGCCGCGCCGCCGCCCACGCCCGCCCCCCGAGTAGTGAAACGAGATGCTCCCCTTGTAGCTGACCCGGAGCACGGCG